ATGACGTGACTACCATCTATTTAATAAGTGTACTGATGCAAAGAAAAGATGGTACAATTCATGCAAACATCTTGTAGAAATGTGTATCATATCTCACGTAGACACTTCAGCAGCATGTAAAAATGGCAGCAATTAATGTTCTGATTTGTACAGGAAGGTACCGTTCCTAATTTAGAGCCTTGTCCTTTAAAACCAAAAAGGACATGAGATAATTGGAAGCAGTCTTGGAACAGGGCTACTGATGAATTTTTCTAAGAGTGGTGTTAGTCTATGGCCTTGTTTCTGTCTTTTATCAGAGAAGGGGTCCACTTTAAATTTATACAAAATATGAGCATGTTCAGCTTTAGATGATACCTTTCATTTCTCCAGTGACTCAAGCAAAACATGAGTTTTTTTTTTTAATTGAAATATTCAGGGGGAATGATAATGAAAAATCTGTCAAGGTTCTAACACCTTTTGATTCTGGAGAGCCACTAGGCCCCAAGGCAAGGAGATGGTCTGAGCTTGATTTGCACAAGAAACAAAGCTATGCATCTATCACCTGCTTGGCTTTGCCTACATGGCCTTATCCAAGTACTGGCCCAAGCAGGAAGTTCACACACCCATTCTATGGGAATTCTGAGCACAAGAAATTCATAACAAGGCACAGCTGAATATTAAGCTGTGTAACACCAAATAGTCCATGTTAGATGGCTTCCCACTTAACTGACCCTTGGTCTGGTCAAGGTATAGTCAAGCTTTAATACACAGCTGGACTCCTTATAACATATTCTTGTGGCTTGCCAAAATTCCCCTTTCCTTGCATAGTAAAAAAGGATGTTTAATTATCTCTAGGGCAGTGAATGATGTGGATTAATATTGGGTTTGGAGATGATTGGAATTAATGATAAGTAGCAGCCAGTAAATATTGATATATGGTCAATACTTGTATCAATACTATATACTTATAATCTATAAAGTATATTTATAATCAATCTATATAGATGGCAAGCTGAGAAGTAGTTCAACCATCTAATAGGTATATTTGTATATAATTCATTCTCAACTATACTCACCCCACATCCTCTCCTATCTCCCTTCCATTTCCCCCTTCTCCTTCTAAAACCCTTTCCCACTGTGGTGGTTTGAATGAGAATGGCTTCCATAGGCTTATATATTTGAATGCTTCGTCCCCAGTTAGTGGAACTGTTTGGGAAGGATTAGGTGTGGCTTAGTTGGAGTGGATGTGGTCTTGTTGGAGAAGGTGGTCACTGGGAACGGGCTTTGAGGTTTCAAAAGCCTGTGCCAGGCCCAGTCTTGCTCTGCCTCCTGTAACTTATGGATCAGATGTGAGCTCTCAGCTACTGCTCCAGTGCCTGCTGTCCTGCTTCCACCGTGATGATCATGGTCTAACCCTCGGAAACTGGAAGCAAGCACCCAATTAAATGTTTCCTTTTCTAAGTTTCCTTGGTCGTGGTGTTCTATCACAACAATAGAAAACAACTAAGACACCCACTTTCGTGAGTTTTCCTTTTGTTTTGTGACTCACTGAGTTTAACCAGGGTCATCTGGGTAACTATGTGTTTGGAAGTGTCCATTGGCGCCTGGTGGTCTTACCAGTGGACATGCAACTAAAGACATTGACTCCCTTCTCCCTGAATCTACAAAGTAGCCACCAGTTCAGCAGAGAAAGTAGGGCCCACGAGTCTATCCTCTACCCATGATTAACTTTTGATAAGCCCAATGTAGGAATCAACAGCTAATATATGTTATAATTACAATAGCTACGCCATGCCCAGAGGATGGTATTTCACATCTTTTCTATCTTTCTGACTCTTATATTCTTTCTGCCCCCTCTCAATGTCCCTCAAACCTTAGTGGGAAGTTATGTATTATTAGAGTAAGCATTCAAACATCTCTTATCACCTTGAGCTGCCATGAAACTTCTGCATTCTCTGCCATTTACTGCAAAGAGATACTTCCTTCTTTGACTAAGGCTGAGAGCGGTATTTGTGAGTTTAACAACAAACCTAAGTTTACTACAAAGGTCTAAGACCTCCTCAGCCATGTGTTTTACAGTATCAGGCATGGATTCCCTCCAGCAAATTGGACCTCAAATCCAACCAGAAGGTAGTTGGTTATATTCCCCAACCGTCACGCCACTGTTGCACAGGTAGGCACATCTTGTTTAGCAAACTGGTATTGTAGTTCATGGAAATAAGTATCTGGATAATATTATTGATGCCTTTTGTACCCTAGCATCCTGCATAGCATGTTCTGGTACTGTGACTGCTAGCCAGTTAGGAGGAAATTTCCAGTTCAGTTCAAACTTGATTTCCCTATAATCAAACTGTTTGCTATATTTAATAACAGGGTCTTATAGTTTAGTTCTGGTGTAGAGTGAAAAGAGCTCATATTGTTTGTGAGGAGGGCCTCTGGGTCCTCCTTGGTCAACAACTTATATGGACCTATCCCAACCTGGCACTGGATTTCTGTTTTGTAAGCCATAGCCTTTGGAGCAGCATTTTCTAGCCATGCAGATGATCTCTTAATTCTTTTTCTTTAATTCTTTAATCTGGTTACAAGATCATTTGCGGGTTTCTGTATGGCTTTTTCATACACTCTTCATTTTTATTAGCACTCTTGCTCCTGTTCCTCTCTCCCCCAACCCTCCCACTACCATCACTGTTAAAAGGATTCTACCCTCAATGCCCACCCTCTCTGTTTTCTTTTTACCTATGATTCACTATCCATCTCTCTTCAGGTGTCCCTCCCAGTGGCCCTTTCTTGTCCTTCCTGTCTTTGTTCACTTGTGCTGTTCAAGTCAAATGTCTTAGATGGTTAGCCTATAAATAATATACATATATTCCTCAGTTCTAGAGGCTGCAATGTCCAAGATCTAGGCACCAGCAGGTTCAATGTCTGGTGAAGATTTGATTTCTGCTTCCAAGACAATACCTTGAATGCCCATCCTCATGTGGTAGAAGGGTCAAATGGCTGAAGAGCCTGGAGAGCTCTAGTCCTCTGCTTTCTGCAGACCCCTGTTATAAGTGCTCCACCACTCTTGAAGCAGTCGCCTCTTTTTCACTTACTGTTCTCTGTTGCTGCAGGAAGGCACATGAAAAAGGTAATGTGAAAAAGGGAGAGTTTATTTTGGCTTATAGATCTAGAGGGGTGAGAGTCCACCGTGGTGGGGAGGCGTACCAGCAAGCTGCAGGGATGGCAGCAGGAAGCTGAGAGATCACATCTTCACCATGAGCACAATGTGGACCAGGGTGAACTGGAAGTGGTGCAAGACTTTAAACTCTCCAAGTCTTCCCCTGTAGATATAACCAACTGTCTAATTAAATAAGAAAGACAGAGCCGATTCAGAGAAGAAAGCCAAGAGGTCAGAGCTAAGAGCCTCACCCTTCCTGATTCAGCGATCCTCTTCAGCCAAGAGAGCTCTCCAAAAAGGGCCTACTTCCTGTGTGTATGTCTTTATATAGTTTAGCTGTTCTGCCCTCTCATTGGTTGTAAACCCAAACATGTGACTGCCTCATCACTGCCTGTATGTACCGCCCTCCAGGTCCTTAAAGGCATGCGCCACCGCCGCCACGCACTTGCTATGGCTCTAATAGCTCTGACCCCCAGGCAACTTTATTAACATACAATTAAAATCACATTTCAGTACAAGTAAAATATCACCACATTCCCCCAGTGACAGAGTCCCCCAACAAGGCTGTACATCCCATAACTTCTCCAAAGGCAGCAGCAACTGGTAACCAACTGTTCAAATGCCAGAGCCTAAGGGGGACATTTCTCATCCAACCACCACCACCACCACCTCTTGTTTTGTTTTGAGTTATTGACCTATGCTGTGTTTGAGTGAGTTTGTAGGCACCATATGTATGCAGTAGCCTTCACAGGCCAGAAGAGGGTGTTGGATGCCTTGGAACTAGAGTTTCTGGCAGTTGTGAGATTGTGTTGTGAGTTGTGGGCACTGAGAATCAAATCCAGGCTCTCTACAAGAGCAGGAAGGTGCCCTTAACTAAGCCTTCTCTCTAGCCTCTAAACTCCTAACAATAACTCTGGTCATTTGAATATGAAATATCCTCCATAGGCTCATGTGCTTGAACACTCAGTCCACAGTTGGTCTTGGGGGCCCATTTAGGAAGGTTGTGGGAACTTCAGGAGGATATGCCTCGCTGGAAGAAGTGGATTAATGTGGGCAGGCCTTGAGGTTTCATAGCCTAACCTCATTTCTTGTTCACTCTCTGTTTCCAGACTGTGGTGGCTTGAATGAGAATAACCCCCTTAGGTGCTTTTGTTTGAATACTTGGTTGCAGTTTGTGGAACTGCTTGAGAAGGATTAGGAGGTATGGCCTTGTTGGAGCAGATGTGTCACTGAGAGTAGACTTTAAGGTTTCAAAAACCCACACCATTACCAGTTAGCTCTCTCTTCCTCATGCTTGTTGACCTGCCTGCCTACTGCCATGCTCCGTGCCATGATGGTCATGGAATCTACTGCTTTCTGGAAATGTGATCCCCAAATTAAATGCTTTCTTTTGAAATTTGCCTTGGGTGTGGTGTCTCTTCACAGTAGTAGAAAAGTTACTAAGATATTGACTATAGATGCAATGTGGCCAGATGCCCTTGCCTCCTGTGGCCATTCCTTTCCTATCATGACAGGTGTGAGTCCCTTAAACTGCAAGGCAAAATAAGACCTTCTCCCCTTAAGTTGTTTCTTGTCAGGCAACAAGAAAAGTAACTAATACAGAAAATTGGAAGTTTCAATATGTGAATTTCAGAGAGAACTCAAGATATTCAAACTGTGGTGCAACCTGACCCGACTCTCATCTGCATTCCTTGGACAAGCCATGGCACCACTGCCCATTTCTTTAGGAGGCTAGATGTCTGCCAAACACATCTATGATGACCTATCAAGTCTACCTGCTTGAACATAGAACTAGTGACTCACACAAAAGACTTGGAGTTGCTAAAGATGGAAGGTATAATGTTATACCACTTTCATTTTTCAGATGAAAACTCAGACAACCAGAAAGGACATGAAGGGTACCCCCTGTTGCACAGAAGCTTGGCAGGTATGTGACATTGACATTCCACACTCTCAGATCCAATGCTTCCCCCAGCACATGCGCTCCTCTGTCCCTCATGTGTAGAGTGGAAATCATACCTGGATCCATGTCTCTGTTCCTTGACAACCTTTGCTAATCTTTGATGCACGATTACAAGTAAAGCCAGATGGCCTTGACCAGCTAATTTTTGACCTTTAAAAAAAGGATTGAACTTACGTTCCTCAGGTTCACTTCCACTTAATTAATCTGAAATGATGGCTATCCTTCCAGCTGAGAGTAAGCATCTATTTCCTCCTTCCTTTATCTCTCGCTTAATGAAATTTAAATTGAATTTATAGAACAGCAGAAGCTTCTGGTTTGCTGAATGACATAATCATGTCCACCATTGCTGCTCATCAGTAACTCTTATTCCTTGGGTGGGCCCTGCCATGAGCTAAGGAAGACTCATTTTTAACTGTGCCTCTGAACTTAATGAGACACGACATCCCCTGGGAAATCTTTCCTACCTATCCTCCAGAAAGGCAGGACCTGGACTGAGATGGAGAACTGGGGAAGATTTGAATGCCAAGGAAAAGTTGAGTGTTACCATTTTCCAGAGATGGTTCAGAACTTGCTACTTGAGCTTGTCTTCATATGAAGGTAACTCTCAGTGGCTGGTGTCCTGGCTTTCAGAGGAGCCCCTGCACCCGGGCCTCCTGCAGAGGCTTCCCAGGGGGCTGAGTTTAACTCACCCAGGAGATCAGAAAGAGTCATATGGTTCCTTTATCATATGTATCAACACAGAAAATGGCCAGGCGGCAGTGGCGCATACCTTTAATCCCAGCATTCGGGAGGCAGAGCCAGGCAGATCTCTGTAAGTTTGAGGCCAGCCTGGTCTACAGAGCGAGATCCAGGACAGGCACCAAAACTACATGGAGAAACCCTGTCTGGAAAAAAAAAAGACAGAAAATGTCAGAAATAAATGCCAAGAGGTTTCCAAATGGGCTGAATTATTAACTATAGAAAAATTTTAAAGCACATTAATTAATAAAAACACATAGTGCAGGTAATCCTACTGATCATCAATGGTTACTGTTTATCAACCACTAAACACGCTTTGTAAGTCCTGGATGAAATGTCAGAGATGGGCAATTCATCAATTTTAAAATAGTATTTGAGTTATTCTTTGAAATTTTATACATTTATGCAGTTTATTTTGATCATATTCATCATTACCTCCCTCCAACTCTCCTTAGTGCCTCCACCTTCCTCCCTCTCGACTTCATGTCCTCTTCCTTTGTTATTAAAAACCCTGAGTCCAGTGACTGTTGCCCATAAACACACAGGTGTGAGGCCATCTTCTGGGGTTAAGCAACCTACAAGCAGCCATATTACCCCAGAGAGAATGATTCTCCCTCCTGTGTAGTTCATCTGCCAAGGGTTCCCATTCATACTGGAATTAAGACTGGCTTGATTTTGTGCAGTAGCCACTGGTGCTGAGCTGCTGTGTACAACCTGTCCGGAAGTCAGCATTTCACAGCTCCCCTTCCCATCTGTCAGCTCTTGCAGTTTTTCACCAGCTATTCTGCAATGTGCCCTGAGCCTCAGAGAAGATAGTTCATGTAGGTGATTCATCCATAGCTGAGCACTCACAGTTGCTTATACTTGACATTTTGACCAGATGTGAGTCTCTGCATTAACCACTATTCACTGCAAAAAGAGGCTTCCCTGACCAACGTTGAGAGCAGCACAAATCTATACAAGCCGTCATTTTAACCATTCCCTCACTGTGAAATATTTCATTGTTTCCACTTTTGACTCTATAAAAAAGTCCATTCCTTGTAAATATATCCTTGTGTCCTGTTTCCTCAAAAGAAATTTCTGGAAGTAGAATAATTAAATCAAAAAAATCAAATGCACAAATGTAAGTAAGACATTAGCATTAGCATGTCAACAGTTTACTCTGAATGGTTCTACTAGTTCATACTCCCCAACAGAGATGAGGAGTCTAGCTTTTAATAACAATTATCACAGTTTTAACAGCAGGACATTTGCTATGAGACAGATAATGTGTTCAACATTTTAGGATCATTATTTCACTTAATCCTCTTAAAAAATCCTAGGAGGTGGCTACTAATATGATCTGCATCTGCAACTGAGAAAAATAATCTTAGAGAAATTAAACAGTGTGCCAATCTCCCTCACCAGAAAGAAAACAGTGAATGTGATCATTGACCCACCAGGATCCCAGTAGAAATGGATCACTAGGGATGGCCCTTTTGAGAGTTATAACCTGGTCCTAATTCTGATCCAGTTTTCTGATTGCTGATCTGCCCATATGTGGGGAACTTCCACTTCACACGACTACCAATGATAGCAGGTAGAAAAAGGAGTTAGATATGAGGAAAACTGCCAATGAATCTTAGTAACTGTGTGTTCTAATGGTCAGAGTGTTCCTTAGTTATTAAACATGCCTTAAGCTGCCACTAGGGTGTCCCCACCACATCAGAAGCTAAGTTACCAGGGCATCTTTCCACCCATGCACATCAACAAAAGATCTGCATCCTCAACTGACTTGACCTTATTATACTACCTGTACTGTTGTCTTGACAACCCCCTCCCTACCTCTTGTAGACTTTTTCTAGAGGATCATGGATAGAAATACCCAAAAGGGAAAATCTGGTCTCCCACAATTTGGGAGGGGAATCCCCTTACCGCATGAACATGCCACAGACCTCATAGATGTTCAGGAAAACTACTTTAAAATCTCCAGGTTCAAATCTACAGGGCTGATCCCTGCTTCAACCCCAACTCCAGTCCTTCTTTGTAGTATTTGCTTCATTTGGTTTTGTTAAATGAACTTCTGCTCAGACCATGTCTTTGGACTAAATTCTTGCCTCCAAGAAGGTGAGAACCAAGAGATTCAAAAGAACCATGACAGAAGAACTGGTTGGCCACCACATCTTCACTGTCATATGGCCTGGACTTCATGAAATCACGAGCCAGAAAATAAAATAAAATAAAATAAAATAAAACATCTTTTCTCCTTTTAGTTGTGTCTCTCGGGGATTTTGTCCCAATGATCAGAAAAAGTAGCAAGTACTCCAACCAATTTGTGGAAAGAAAGGAAAGGAAAGAAATAGGCAATGAACATTGCCTCAGGTTCTCCTTGACAGGATCACTTAAGTTAAAGATGGTATGGCACCAAGCCCCGAGAACAGAGCGCTAAGCAAGGATTACCCTTTTGTGTGGTGGTGATGGAGCAGGCAGCGACGAGGAGGGCTTGTTTTTGTACTAGGAATCAGCCATTTACCTGGCTTCAGTGCATGGGATGGATAATTCCATGTTGAGCAGCTTAATTTAGTATAAAAGAGGCCACATGCCTACACAGACACCGCAGAGCAGGGCTCCAAGCTGCTGGTTCCCAGAGCTCCGCAGGAAGGTGCGGCTGCATGGTTTATCCCGCTCAATGGAGATCACATCAGCAGAGACTCTGCTGTGGAAGCCTGCGGAGTAACTAAGAGCTGATTTCCTCCATCAGTTTTTGAAATTCCAAGTTTAGAAATAGGATATAAGGAAAATCCGTCAGCTTCCCCAAAAAAAACCTCTGCTTTTTGTTTGTTTTGGCTAAAGGAACATTCCTGTTCCAGGCACTGAGACCCCAATGTTCAGGTCCACACACACACACACACACTCAAGAGGATGTGCATGGTAAGCTGTGTTGATCCTTAAACAATTAACACCTTCCCTGTGTTGTTGACCTCCAGCCCCACTCGGCTTATCAGCAGTCACAGGCTGCAGAGACTGTGGGAAAGTCAAGTGAGAAGGAGTAGAAACTTGAGACCGCAATGTTAGGACTGGCTTTGATGGGCCCCCTGGTGGCAGCTTCTTCACCTGATTATAAGGTGCTACTCACCAGAGCCAGGTGACAGATAAAACATGTGCCTTTGTAGGACTGATGTGGGTCACGGGACTCTAGTGTCACAGTGAGAGTTTGTTTGGATCACTCGAGATCCACTATTAGCCATGTAAAATTTTAGTGTGACTACTTTCATCAAATTCCAAAGGGAGTGTCATTGATAGGCAAACATGAGTAAAGGAATAGTAGTCCAATTCTTTCAAAGGCTTTTAACTAAAAGAAAGGCATAGCCAATTGGATGATCTTGAAGAAGCTAGAGAAAACAGTTTATAGGGCAATATACCACAGAACTTTGCTGACATCATGCCAAATGTTGTTTCTATCCACTGGCCTTACTGGCCCTGAAGGGAAGGAACTACACTTCCCACAAACCCATCCTAGTCTGTGCACCTGGCGTTTCTGTCTTAATGAGGACCCGGGAGCTCTGTGGCTGCTCGTAGTCAAGGATGGACCAGCTAAAGCCCTGCTCAGCCCTGGCTCTGCAGCTGACCTGAATAAATCCAGATATCCACTTCATTTCCCCTAAGGGGATAAAGGCAGGCCTTCCTAGACAGTCTCTGGCTGCTGTAGCCCAGAAATACAGTGTTTTCTTGAAGACCACGAGTAGAGGCAGATGAGGATAACCAGGCTCTTTTTTCTAGACAAGAGATAGGGTGTAATTGGGATTCAAAAAATAGATGAATCCAGTACAGTAATTCCAAAGGCCAGCCCATCCAAGTCTCTCTGAAGAAAAGGTTACTGTTCCCATATTATTATCACTTTTATCCTGCAAATAATTTGTCAGGAAACATGATTTTTAAAAGCATAGTCGATTTGTGTTATCAGTTATCTTATATGAGCCACAGCTACTTCTGATTTTAAAACAAACCGTTTTTCCTGTCAGAATACAGAATTGCTATAGGTTTTGATAAATTGTTCTATAATTGCTTGGAAATTATAAATATATCTGAATTTAATTATGGAAATCTTTATCCAAAATTATATCAAGTATGAATACTGTGACTAAATTCTAATTACCGAGAGAAGATAATTACATGCAAAACAAATAGAGCTAATCAAAATCATTAGCAGAACTTGTTAATCAATCACTTAAATCCCATTTTGCCAT